TAGGAGGTGGGAAAAATCACCAGCTGTGGGTTGGGTTTTGGTGATGTTGGTGATGTTTGCTGATGTTTTGGTGATGGTGGTGGTGTTTGATGATATTTTGATGACGGTGGTGGTGCAGCTGCACAAATGGCTAAGGGAAAATCCAGGTAGGTTAGGGAATAGCCTCAAGTTGCATGAGGGGATGGATATTAGGGAGCATTTCTTCACAGAAAGGATGGTCAGGCATTGGAACAGGTTGTCCAGGTGGAGTCGCCATCCCAGGAGGGATTTAAGAGATGTGTGCATGTGATACCTGAGGATTTGGAGCACACAGTTCCTGCTGCTGTTAGGAGGTAGGAAAAATGACCAGCAGTTTGGGTTTTGGTGATGTTGGCGCACACACAGAGGATAGAAAAGACTGGTTTTTACCTATAGCTCAAAGTGTTCATTAAAAATAATGTGACAAAATAAGAGCACTGCAAACTTTAAAAAACTTTTAAAGACTTTTTAAAGTAATGCCAATAATTTAAGCCAGAAACAAATGGTCATAATATCCTTTTTTTTTTCCCTGTGCATCTCCAATTACAGCTAAGGGTTACTTGGAAGAATGCTATAATTGAGTGCTTGCTGGTTGTGTGTTGTAGGTTAACTCAACCTAGATCATATTTAATCTGAGGATTCATTTTTTAGGCTCTGCAACATTGACAAAATTAATTACTAATATTAATATTCAGTAGTATCTAAAGGGCTTGTTGAAGCTTGGGGAGGTGCAGTGGAAACAGCCTCTGCTCTGGTGTGTTTATAGTCTCCACTGGCAAGGGTTGGAAGGTGAAGAAACATGGAAGAGGATTTAATCCTGCTAAAGTTATACAGTCAGTGGCAGAGCTGTGCTCCCTGCAGGCTTTGGTGTGTACACAGTGCCTGAGGCAGCACAGGTTGGCTTGGAGAGTCACAGGGTGGTTTGGGTTGGAAAGGACCTTTAAAGGTCATCTAGTCCGTGAGCAGGGACACCTTTCACCAGCCCAGACTAGGCACAGACTCAAGCTCTGCCAGGGGAGGGTTAGGTTGGATATTAGGAAGATATTTTTTACAGAGAGAGTGCTCAGACATTGGAATGTGCTGCCCAGGGAGGTGGTGGATTCACCGTCCCTGGAGGTTTTCAAGCTGAGACTGGATGTGGCACTTAGTGCCATGGTCTAGTGACCACGGTAGGGTTGGACTTGATCTTGGAGGTCTTTTCCAACCCGGTTGATTCTGTGGTTCTGTTCACAAATTGTGGATGACTGAAGCTCAGAAGAAAGTGGCACTCAAAATGAGGAAACATTAAGAGATTTTTGAAAGGTTTCCCTTGCTGATTTACCAAACAACTGAATATTGACTCGGTATCTATAATTCGGTTGTATATTTCTCTTCTGAGTCAAAATGAACTTAGTATGTAAAAATAAGCTCCTTTTCCTGGTGCTGTGCCTTTACTGCTGAATTCCTGTTAATTTGTGTTTAGAAGTAAAAATACTCTGTCTCATCATGCTAGATTAGATACATAATATGGATCAAAACATCCAGATCCTTCCCTTTGCCCAAAGTGTGTTGCAGAGTGCTCGTTCTGCCTTGTGATTTCCTGCAGACGTGATCCCTCATTACCGTGATTGTAATTAGTCCTTCTGAGGCATTTTTCACCTTCAAGGCACTTTGCAAACATGAGGGAACTCATGCTCATTCCACTCCTCTTCCCTACATAAATAATCTCATGAAGCTTGTTGGAGAAAGGAGAAGAATCAAGAGGAGAACGTAAGGTGGAGGTGTCAGCAGAGATTAATGTGGTACCAGGTTCTGCTCCTTGTGAGCAGCCATCGCTTTTCTGGCTTAAATCAGGTCACTCCTCAGCTTCTGGTTGTCCAAACATCAACCAATTTGTTTGCTGTAGGACTCAAAAGCTTCTTTTCCCTCGCTCAGCCCTACCAGTGTAGTTTCTAGCCATGTTTTCTTGATATCCTGGGCCAGATTAAATTCTATGTCAGCCTTGGCTTTTCTAGTCTCATATCTACCTGCTTTGGCCGCCTCTCTATATTCACTCCAAGTAACCTGAACCTGCTTCCACCTCCTGTGCATTTCTTGTTTGTGTGTCAGTAATGGCAGTTCTTGGTTCATCCATAGAGGTTTCATGTGCCCTTGGCGCAACTTTTTTCTCATTGGGATGCATCGTTCTTGAGCCTGGAGGAAGTGAGCCTTAAATAACAACCAGCTCTCTTGGGCCCCTCTTCCCTGCGGGGCTTATTTTTTCTCAACTTTTCCTGATAAACTAAGCAATGCAATTTCAACTTGCAGATCAGAAGACAAGTAGAATTCACCCGGCATGGATTTTGGGCTTTGGGATTTCATTTGTGGGTTTTGGGGTGTGAAATCTCTCTTAGTCATTCAGTGCTTTAGAGCACATGGGATTGGGGATCTGTGTGGGATGGGTACAGGAATGAGTTGTGTGCCTGAAGGTTTCCCCAGGAGCTCCATTCCCCCTCTCTCTCCCCAGCATCCACAGAATATCCTGAGTTGGAAGGGACCCCACAAGGATCAGATGATCCTGGATGAGATTGGATGTGGCACTTAATGCCATGGTCCAGTAACCACAGTAGGGTTGGACTCAGTGATCTCTGAGGTATCTTCCAACCTGGTTGATTCTATGATCAGTCCAACTCCTGTCCCTGCACAGACACACCAACACTGCACCCTGTGCCTGAGAGCATTGGCCAAACACCCCCTGAGCTCTGTCAGCCTTGGGGCTGTGCCCACTGCCCTGGGGAGCTGTTCAGTGCCCAAACACCTCTGGGGCAATAACCTTTTCCTGATATCCAACCTAACCCTCCCCTGGCACAGCTTCAGGCCATTTTCTTGGGTTCTGTCACTGGTCCCAGAGAGCAGATCTCAGAGCTGCCCCTGCACTTTTCCTCCTGAGGAAGTTGTATCCAGTGAGGAGATCTCCCTTCAGTCTCCTCTTCTCCAGGCTGAACAAGCTAAGTGATCCCCACCATCTTTGGAACTTGTGGCACTCCAGAATCTCAAACTCTTCATTCCCCAAAGTGGATGTTCTTAGGGAGCAATGGGGAGTTGTGTGTTCAGCCCTTTGCCTCAGCCTTGCTTCATCCAACTACAATCTCACTATCTCCAGGCCAAGGAACATGTGGCCTGGTGCTGAGAGGACAATTAGGTGCTGTGGACAGGGCATTTCAATTTAAGATGAAGGCTAATGCAATCTAAATGGATGTATAACTCATTCCAAACCTCATTTTTCTAACAAAGTAAGGTCAGCAATGCCAACCAAATTTCAGCAGCAGAGTCAGATCATCAAGTTTGCTCTCAGATAGCCTGGTGTGCTAATTTGAGCATATTTTTGGGTTTGAGTGGTTCTTTAAAGGAGAAAATAAAATGAGAAATGCACATTTAAAACCATTCTTGCTGCTCCTCATTAAGATTTTTGCCTTCTGAAGAGCTGAAGGATATTGTTAAATTTCTTTGGGTCAGTTGAGACGCTGCTGAATTTCATGGTTGAGGAAAGAGAGGAAGAAGAACCAATGGAAATATAATGAGTATTTGTTCAAAGCAATATCTGCAAATTGCCTGTCCTGTCTAATATAGATTATAGATATTAGAGGGAGAGGGAGGTGATTATGAAATGTAATCAATCAACAGCCTTTATCCAATGCCCTCAGTGCTGGGTTTCTCTGTGGTCAGGCTCTGTTGGCACATTACTGGATTTCTAGTTGGGCTTGCAGGAATAATTTTGTTTCTGAAGCAGTTTGATCATCTCACTTAATTTGCATCAAGTAAATTTGCATCCCTTGTCAGGGAAGGTCATGGAGCAGATCACCTTGAGAGCCATCGTGCAGCACATGGAGACCAAGCAGGGAACCAGGCCCAGACAGTGTGGGGTCAGGAAAGGCCGGTCCTGCCTGACCAACCTGATCTCCTGTACAACTCCCTCCTACTAGATGAGGGAATGGGTCTGTGATCTGATCAAGTGAATCCTCAGTCAGTTCACAGATGACACTAAGTTCAGTGGAAGAGTTAATGTGCTGGAGAGCAGTACAACTCTGCTGAGGGATGTGGACAGGTTGGATCCATGGGCCAAGGATGAGGCAAGGTGCTGGGTCCTGTCCTTGAGTCACCACAACCCCACTCAGTGCTCTAGGCTTGGGGTAGGGTGTGTGGAAAGCTGACTGCGCTTGAGCCCAGTGAATCTGCTGTAAGGATCTTAGGCTGTTACAAGGAATCTTTTCAACACTTTTGAAAGGGATGGACTGAACTGAGATGTCTAAATATAAAGAAGTGTAAAATGAAATTAATTCTATAAACCTTCATTTGAGCTGGGCAGTTGTCAGGTCTGGAGGTGTGAGGATGGGTGAACAGAACATCACCAGAACAGAAAGCAAAAAATGCAGGAGAGGAGGAAACTGGGGGGAGATGCAAGGGGGGAAAATACCTTCCTGCTTATTTTATATAATCACCCTTAGTGGGAGGGATTTAAAAGCTGTGTGGATGTGGCACCAGGGGACATGGTTAGTGGTGGCTGTGGCAGTGCTGGGAGTGACTGGAGTTTTTGCTCTTAGAGTCCTTTCCCATCCTAGACAACCCCTGACTGTGGTTCTCTCAGCCCTACAGCAGCTCCATGGCACACCAGGTGCACAGTGTTTTCAGGCACATGACCCAATGTATTTTGTGTGGTTTATTGAGATTGATTTTATTCTAATGCTGTTGTTTAAGCAAGGTATGTAATTCAGTTTGGAGTGACTGGAGTTTTTGCTCTTAGAGTCCTTTCCCATCCTAGACAACCCCTGACTGTGGTTCTCTCAGCCCTACAGCAGCTCCATGGCACACCAGGTGCACAGTGTTTTCAGGCACATGACCCAATGTATTTTGTGTGGTTTATTGAGATTGATTTTATTCTAATGCTGTTGTTTAAGCAAGGTATGTAATTCAGTTTCTTTGTTGTTGTTGTGATTTCTT